TGTGTGTAGTTGTGTGTAGTTGTGTGGTGTGTGTAGTCGTGTGTAGTCGTGTGGTGTGTGTAGTTGTGCATCATGAGCTCACTCACTGGTTGGGCTGCAGATCCTCGATGGCGATCAGAACGCCCTTCTCATGGAGTCGAGCGGCCGTGTACTTCTGTGAAACCTGTTTACTCTTCTTGGCTTTGTTGTCGCCTGGTTTCTTTGACAACCTGCGGACAAACATCAGTGTTTATATTTGTTTAACTCTTTTCACAATAAATACCAGCAGGAAGTAGAAATACACAGAATAATACTGATAGTGAAAAGTAAATACTGTGTTTTTCATTAATACATCGGGAATCAGTTTCATAGAAACGTGATTTGAATCACTTCAGAAACCTCATCAACACTCGGTCCTGGAGGAGACGTGAACTTTACGAAGTGAACTTCCAGTAAGATCCAGATGCTCTTGGATTGTTCGACACGTTAACGGAACTTCACACATGTTGAGAACAAAGACTGAACCTGATCAAACGATCAGAGGAGTGAACGGTGAAACGGTGAACGGGGTGTGACTCACTTGCCCTTGCTGGCCAGGTTGTCCATACACGTCTTGATGTACTGATTGTATGAATCAATCTGCACGTTGTAAAACGCAGACTTTGAATTCAGGGCCGTGTTTGTCTGCTGGAGTCTCACCAGCTCGGCTTTTCTGCGCTGGCGATACCGTCTCTGATTTCTGATGTCCTGTAATACACACGCACATTAAAACAGAAAAATGACAGCGGTCCTGTTTTCGTCTGAAGATAATCGCGTGACTCGGACCTTGGCGATGTCATTGATGAGGTCCTGGTAGCGGTTCTCCGGGTGAACCTTCCCCAGCTCGGCCAGACGCTGCAGGTTGCTTCTGATCTTGTCTTTCTTCCCCAGCAGCGTCAGGCTGTCGTCCACCACCGGTTTGACCTGCTTCATCTTCTCTGGAGTCTTGGCGTCTCGGATGGCCCTCCTCTGCATGGCCCGCTGGTACTCTACTTCCTGTCGGCCGTGGAAATAAGATGGAAAACATGAAGAATTCTAATTTAATTGGATAAGAGGTTTTCATAATGATGGCATTCAATGTTAAACTTGTCCATTAAATGTTTTTCAATTACATGTTTGGGGCAGATCCAGGGACACAGTGTTTTTACTTTAACTTTATGTGTCTGTGTGTTTATGCTGTGTCTATTTGTCAGAGAAGAATTCATGGATCTTGATGAAAACAATCACACATATTTAGAGGACTGATATTATGAGTGTGTGGGCGCAGATCCAAATAAAAATCTGGATCTAGCAGATTTAAATGTGGTTTCACAGGGAGGTAGAGGTTTTAACAAATAGAGCTACAAACCTGTAACAAGCCCCGAGCTCAGAGGCAACTGTTTATATCTTCACTAGTTTTTGATCCATGTCCAAACAATGGATTAAGATTAAGATTTTCTTAATAATAATATTCATTTCAAGTATTTGCTGTAAATGATGAACCAACATTGTCTGGTATCATTAGTTCTGGTTCTATTTGTTTCCCATGAACCTTGCTGCTGCTGTTGGAAACAGGATGTTGCTCAAGAGGTGACTGTGATTCCACCAACGTTTTCAGGCCTGTTTGAAAAGGACGTTCCTGTTTTGTTTCATTAGTCGATCCCACTCAGATGAATCATGCAGTGCAGAAACAGAAGAAATAGAAGAAACACGCTCAGCACGTTTAAACATTGTGTCTTATCTCAGACCTGTTCTGGACTCGCTGTCAAATCCAGGATCTCAGTGAGAGTCTCTCCAGGCTGGAACCGGATCACATCCACGATGAGCCTCTTGGTGCTGGAAAGAGAAAAGAAACAGAGACGTGACAAACCAAATCAAGGTCAGAGAACAATTAGCCTTCACTCGCCTGTGTGCCTCTGTGTGGACGTACTTCAGAAGCAGAGTCTTGGCGTCCATCTCTGTGTTGGCCTCACCAGGGACGTCAAATTTGTTGGCGAGTGTGAGAGACACCTCCGTCTTCCCCATCAGCTCTTTGCTGGGGTCGCCAGAAGGAAGAGGATTTTCACCTGAGAGCAAGAGAATAGAAATAAATAAATCAGTCACAATATTCAGCATTTTCTGAAAGAACAGCTAAGCAGTTGATTCAAAGACTTATTGAACATACGTGTTCACACGTAACAGTTGAACATGTGATGACGATATGAAAACAACACAGATTAAAACTAAAGAAAACTAAAACCGTCCAACAGGTTCCAAGAGAAGCTGCTGTGCCTCAGTACACTTGTTATTTTTAGTGCATGAGTCCGTTCACAGTTTGACGACGTCTCCAGCCCCTTGAGGTGAGAAGGTCCGACAACATCAAAGTGTGGAGCCTCAGGTCCATAAGACAGAAACCTCCCAACACGACACTTACTCTGCAGATCAATGAGACGCAAACACACTTTTATACCTGGTACTTATTCCTCTTGTACTTTAATTCTATTTTATTCTGCTTGTACTTACATGTCTAACTTTTTAATTTGCTTCACATTTCCGCTGATTTTTCTATTTAATATATTTGTTATTCACCAAAGAAGATTCTTTGTATGTTGAAATCCTTCTTACAGTACAATCACAACACGATAACTACGGAGCGGAGCAAGAATCCAGAGATGCTCTTGAAACATTGATTATGAAATGCTGGACACCATCTTAGCTCCGTAGCAGAGGGGGAGGAGCCAACAAGGGAAACAGAGGGAAAACTCCCACATGAAATGTTAATGATTCAAGTTGAAAATCTTTCCCGATGAACACTGTAGAATTAGTTGAGAAAAAAATGACGTAACGAGTCCTGGGGGATCTTCTCCCAGACCTGGACCATCACTGAGCTCCTGCACCGTCTGTGGACGGACTTGGTGGCATCGGATACATAATGTCCCATTGGGCATTGACCTGCACCAGGAGGAACCCAGAGTGCACTGCAGCAGCATACGGTCTGACAGTCGCTCTGAGGATTTCATCCTGGTACCTAACAGCAGTCAGGGAACCGTTGGCTGTGACATGGAGGTCTGTGTGACCTTCTAAGGATCTGCCTCCACAGACCATCACTGACCCTCCACCAGACCGGTCATAGATGATGTTACAGCAGCGTCACGTTCACCACAGCTTCTCCAGATCCTTTCACATCTGTCACGTGTTCAGTGTGAACCTGCTCATCTGTGAGGAGAACGAGGCTCCAGTGGTGAACCTGGTGGTCCTGGTGTTCTCTGGTGAATGGAGCTGCTCAGTGCTGGACTGTGACTCAGGTCCCACTAGAGGACGCCATGTCTCCTCCTGGAGTCTGTTTCTGACAGTTTGGTCAGAAACACACCAGTAACCTGCTGGAGGTCATTTTGTAGAGCAGTGCTCCTCCTGCTCCTCCTAACACAAAGGAGCAGATAACGTCTCCTGGTGTCTCCTGGTTTAACGTCTCCTGGTGTCTCCTCCACACTCTGGAGACTGTGCTGGAGACACAAACCTTCWTGTGACCACAGGTATGGATGAGTCCTCCTGGAGGAGCTGGACTACCTGTGCACCCTGATGGTGCTGCAGGTAGCGCCTCATGYTACCAGTAGTGASGAGGACCCGAGCAGAACACAGAACTAGARTRAGTCAGGAAGGACCAGGAGAGAGCAGCTGTCTGTGGACACCACATTAAAAACATTCCCTGTTGGGACCTTGTTCTTTGATTTGCAACAAAACAGAGAGACAGATTCACAATCACCGGTTCTTCTAAATGGAAACATTGATCTCTGAAGTTTTACTTTACAATGAACATTAAGGTTCCCTCACTTTACTGAGCTGTGTATTTTCAAACGTATACAAACGGCGACAGAGAAAGGACACGACAGTGGAGACGCAGCTTCATTAACGTGTCACATGACACAAGAACAACGTTTAAATCAAGTCAGCAGCTGGCAGATATTTTGAGGTCATTATTTCCGCTGAGTAAACGACCATCATGTTTGATTTGAGAGAATATTACTCAGTAATTCACACACTACATCAATCAGTATATTTGGTACTACAAAGTACACGATATGGAGTAATCTGTGTGGCGTGTGCTATCGACACTGTCTCTGGATCCACACGGTTGAACGCTTCCTGTCTCACTCACCGATGAGCGACTCGATCGTGGGAACCTCGCCCAGGTCCTCCAGCAGCTCGTGGATCGGGTCGTTGTGCTCTGGAGCGATGGCGTCCTGATGGTCCAGCAGCAGCTGACAGGACAGAAAAAGGTCAAAACATGTCAACATCACAAAAACAGCAGAGCATTTGTGTCATGCAAACATGAGGTGAGTTCAAACTCACTGTGTGAGTGTTGATAATCTCTCCGATGGAGATGTAGATGACAGGCTTTGTGACGGTGACTAAGTCGGAGTACTGATCCACGTTGAACTTGTCTTCCAGCGAGGGAACGTCACACGCTGCCAGGAAGAAACGCCTGCGATGGACGACAGGAGGATGAAGTCAGAGGAGCCGAGCGAAGGACAGAAAGTGGAAAATGAATCAACATCATCCTCAAGTATCTGGGTGCTTTTGAAAAGTGTCCACAGCCTCTAAACCAGATCAGCTTTTTATTTCAACAGCATCAGACCTGAACTTCTGATACGAGGCGCTGAGATACTCGTTGATGGGATTGAGGTGGGCGTTGTCCCCCAGGAACATCTTATTGGAGGCGGCGTGCTGCAGCATCTTAGCGACAGAGCCCAGGTTGCGTCTCTGCTCAGTGGTCAGCTGGCCGCCCGCTGACACCTCGATGATGTCAAAGGCGTCGGGTGCCACGATGGCCGGGTTCATGTAGCGGTAATACAAGAGGTTCCCCACGATCTGAGAAGTTAAAATCAATATACATATATATATATATATATATATATATACACTTTAATATATAGCTTGAATTATACTTATACTCAAAAGTGTTGCATGATCCAACCATCAGTACTACAACTTTACACTAGTATTAGTAACAGACTGTTGGATTTAAAAAGCTCTAATCTGAACAGCGTCTGCAGACCAGAGCGTCAGGAGTGAGAGAGAAAAGAGAAAATGAGACAGAAAATGTTCATGGAAACTGACGCGACAGCGTTCAAAGTCTGACAAGAAGCAGAGTAGTGTTCACTGCAAACTGTGGTGATACCACGAAACCTTTTAACATCTGAAGCAGGACTGACAGAAATAGTGATTTCATTTATATCATAATATAAATCGATATCGACTGATGTGAAGAGAGAGAGAGAGAGAGGACAGAATGAGGAGAGAGACAGAGACGTCGCTCACCTTAACATCAGCAGACACACGAATAACCAGCAGAGAGAAGCTTCAGCTGGTCGACGAGGAAAGAAGAGGATCAGTGGAAAAACAGGAAGAAAAGATTAGGAAGGAAATGTCTAAGAAACAGGGAGGAGGGACAGAGAGAAGGAGGAAGGAGAGAAGGAAGGTAACAAAGCAGTTGAATGAGACCAGAGAAAAGTAGTGAAACCTTTAAAGTCTATCGTTCACATCTGAGAATAAAGGGTTTCTATGGAAACTGATGTGTTCTGTACGTTAACATACATGACGTAGACGTGAAACCGGACCAATCATCATGTGAGGATTCATGTGTCTGTGATGTGGAACCTTTAAGAAACATGAAGTCACAATGAAAGGTTCAGACCTTCAGCAGCTCGTCCTCTGTGGCGTCGGGGAACTTCTCATGGAGCGTGTCCTTCAGCACCTTGGAGATGAACCTCATCCCGTACCTGAAAACACACGTGGTGACTTCATCCGCACTACATCAATGTTGCTATGGTAACAACTCTGGAGTTTTTGAAGTTTGAACACGCTGCTGGTCTCATTGTAAATGAAAAGGTCTGAGGCTGAACATTTTGGAGTACATGGAGTTTCTGTTACTAAGCAACCAACTGCAGAGACAATCGACTTCCTGTTTACATCACATGACCAGTGTAGGTGAATGCCATGTGACGTGTGTTTTCCTGAGAGTGAGTGTGGACTGGGTGATTGTTTTAGATTTGAAAATATATTATTATGGATGTAACCTGTGAGACGAGATGCGGTGAAGTAGAAACTTACGGAATTTTATCCACGGACACAATGATGGCCGACAGGAATTTGTCAGTGATGGTCTTCATGTTCTTGATGGATGCCTCCAGTCTGGTCCTCACCTCGTCGTGGGCCATCGCCTGCTCTGGAGTCACGTCGTACGGCAGCTTACTGTCGGCCATTACGCAGGAGGGAAGAGGAAAGAGAGAAGTTCAGAACGTCTGCACCTGATCCATGAGCTGAGATCTGTAAAATACACCCTGATCCAGCTGTTCTCAACGTGTAGTTGACTGGTGCCATCCCAGCATGCTTTGCATGGTCAGCCTTAAGAATGTCAGCCCTTTTAAAACCATGCAAACTTTTCTCCTGCTGTTAAATGATCAAAAGTGCATCAGGACATAAGTAAATAACTAAGGATTATTTGAGTGAAGACGATTTTTTTTAACCAGGTGAACAGAATCATAAGTTTTGTTTTTTGCCAGATCTTCAAACTGTTAAGTATCCTCGCTGTTTGTTATGATAACTTTTTTCATAGATTTAATGTTGGATAGTTTAACCAGGTTGAAACAAGTTATTATAAATTGTATATTTAAATGAAAATCCGATGTATGACACAAATAAAATGAGGACATCACCTGGCCTCCCCCGTCTGCGTCTCCATCTGGTTCACCCAGCTCTTGTAGATGTCCACCGGGTCCGTTTTGATGTTGAGCGTTTTGTCTTCCATGATCTCTTTGATGACCGGCGCCAGGATCTGCCGCAGAGCATTCTGTCCTCGTGCACCTCGGTGGAAACTCACCACCATCTTGATGACCGTGGGGTTTCCTGTGACAATCTCCTTCATCTGGTCCACTTTGGACCTGCAGACGGTTGATTGAAATAAAACGTTTAGGTCTGGTACAATTGAAAAGCTACAGACGTATTCATGGAACAGGTTTGATTGATGCTGACTTGATCTCCTCCTGCAGGGCCGTCTTGAAGAGCTTCAGCAGCAGGTACTCTTCTCTCTGGTTGGACGCGTAGTTGTACAGGGTGAAGATGACAGAGTCCATGAACTTTGTGGATTTGTTCTGAGGCATCTGGAAGATGAGCTTGGCCAGATACGTGGGGTTGGTCTGAAAGGAAACAGAATGTGGTTAAATATTATTGGAGAGAAGCCGGTGGAATCTGAAACTTTTAATCTTTCTCACCTGTAACAGGTAGAACAGGAACTGGTAAGCTTCCAGTTTGACCCTCTTCTCCTTGCTGAGCGCCTTCAGGCCTCCTCTCTGCTTGTTCATCATCATCATGTTGGACAGCTGGCCCTTGTTCTTCTTGGTCAGCTTCTTGCTGTGCGACACCACCTCCTGCAGCGTGATCTTGTTCTTCACCAGCAGGCCGATTTTGATGTCCATCAGGTTCAGGTCATTCTCCAGCTGCTGGTTGGAGCGGATGTTGGTGACCACCTCCTCGCGGAGCCGCATCAGCTCCAGCTCCTCCTGGAAGTCCTGGTCGCTGTGGTCCAGCAGGTGGACGAACTTCCTCACCACTGCCATCGGAGGGTCCTCAGCACTGGCTGCGAGCGAGACGAGAGTCAAACAACCAAGACAGAAAGAGGAGAAAGTAAAGATCACATCTACTTACTCAGCGTCTTGTAGTCGTCCCTGGCCTTGTTGGCCCGAATGAAAGCCTGAATCTTCACCACATCATTGATCTGCAGTACAAAACAGCGACCGTTCAAAAGTTTTAATTACACACAGAATTCACGGTGAGTCACAGTGGAAAAGACTCCACACACATCACATCAGCCTCCCGTGGGCCCCACAGCACTCTGGGTAAATGTCAGCCGAAGTGTCAGGAGAAATTTATGTTGAAGCAACATGATTTAAAGCTTTCATTAAGAAACAAGCCATTTGTTTTGTTCAAGAACACTTTTTTCCGACAGTAAATTTACTACTATCTTACTATCTTATCTTAATTCTTGAGATTTGTCCAGAACTCAATTTGTAGCTAAAAGGTTTGAAGCAAATGATACTGACATGATCTTGGAAGTACTTCAGACGATCCTTGTACTTTTTACGAGCTTGATGCATCCGAACCATGGACTGGATCTGAGGAACAAACAATGTTTAGTCCGAACTGTCCCGATAATCATTCAATAATCTCGGTAATATTCAAATGGTTTGAAACCCATTTACTTTGACAGCGTCTTCAGAATGATCTTTCAGATACTGTTTACGATCTTTGAACTTCTTCCTCTGTTTGTAGCCTTTCCAGTGAGCCTGTATGCTTGTAACAGCTGGATCCTGAGATTTAAGGAAGTTCATCCTCTCCTTCTGGCCATTCCTCACCAGGTAACCACGACAACGAGCTTGCAGCTTGGTAATCAGAGTCTCGTTGGCCAACCACAGCTGCTCTCGGTTGTAGGCCGTGGTTACCCCGGAAACCACAGACTGGAGGGAAAATAAAACAGACGGTTTAATATGGTGTTAAAAAGCCACAAGCTGGCGCTGCTGAGCAAGAGCGGCGGCCTGACCTGGATGTTGTCTTTGTTGAGCTGCGTGTTGTTCTGCAGGAAACCATCAGGCTCCACCCACGTGCCCTCATTCGTCCGCAGGTTATAGTAATAGTTGTGTCCTCCTTTCACCCAGTGCTTCACCCATTCACTGCCATTATCACCTGAGAGACAGACAGAGAGAGAGAGACAGAGAGAGACAGGGAGAGAGAGAGGCAGACAGACAGACAGAGAGAGA